AAACGGAAAAAATGATAGTCATGCCGGCCCAGCATCCTCAACGTTGAAAAATGCCCCGGCACGAAGTGGTTAATGCTTGGGTATTGCAGCCAGGCCTGCCACCAAGTAAAGGGAGCCCACAATTGTGCAGGGCTGAGATTGGCCAGTCTTGACAAATGTGGCTAGATTAGTGTGCTGAAGCACTTTTGTCCCATCTGATAATCCGTGGGCGCTGAGTGCCGCACGGAGTGGTACTGTATACTGTTTCAAGACAGTGACGGATTATCTCCACTAATGCCAGCATTCTGTGCTGAAAATTTTTGGCAATTCCCAGCAGCTTGGTCTTAAGTCCGAAAGTGGGCACCCTGGCCATGCATATACGGCCAACAGCTCCAGCACACCGGGCTCCCTGAAGCTGTGTGGTTAAGAGATAATGAGTAGTTGGCCGCCATCAAAGCGGAAGTTCTTCTTGTCCTTTATATCTCTCATGAAGTTGTACATTTTTCTTTTCGTCAGGGATGGTGATTGCATTGTGATGGAACTCTTTGATGACTCCGATGTCTCTGTACTGGAACAGTGCATGACTGCAGGTATATAGAGGCTTTATATAGAGGCTCATTCCTGCCAGTGAAGCACTCACCCACATCAGCAACCTAGGTACCATGCAAAGTACCCTTCCTAGGTATCAAAAGGGGATATCCCTGGGTTGAATATTGGGTGCAGGGTGGTTTGCCAGAGAGCTCTGGGATTTCTAAGAATCTTTGCTGTTGAGCTTGGTGCGTCCAAGTGTGCTCGAGATGACGATTCCGCAAGTGGTGTTTTTTAAAGTCATTCTGTTTGCTGTAAATTTGTTACATGTACAGGTTATTTTTAAGGTAACACATACTTTAAGTTAAATCTAAGTTTATTTCAGACATGATAAAAGTACTGTAAATGTGTAGGTCGGTGACAGGTTTTCTTAAAGCACAAATTGGCTTTAATGATTATGCAAAAAAAAAAAAAAAATAGTGCAGGTTAATTACTTCAGGAAAAGAAATCTTCAGCATGTTCTCAGGCAGAACTGGTGTGAAATGTGATAACCTACCCACTTTCGTGCTTTGTAAAGCAGGAGTGAGCACAAAACTAATCACAAAGCATGCAATTTTTGGCTGGTAACCCAATGTCTGCCAAGCCACAGACTTGTGTGCTTGTCAGCTCTAAAATGTGCACCAAGTGAGAGAATTGGAACCCCACATGTGCCATTATAAATTTCCTTTATTATGTAAGTGACTCCACTCAGATATTAATTTCACTATTTTTAACACCATCAAAGCTCTAAAAATCTTATTTTTTTATGTTGAAAAGATTATCAGGTTGTTGATGTTAAGTGGAAAAGGAAAATTAATAGAAAATAAAAAAATATCCAGTTACAAATTTGTGTCGTTTATTTAAATTCTTTTTCAAACATACAAAATATATACATACTTGGACACAACCAGTTTACATGCAAATATGAATTTTACATAGAGCTTCAATTTGGCTAAAATATCCAAAAATGTAGGACAACTTGTCAGAACCAAACTTTGGAGAAATTAGGCATTACGTGATGTACTGAGACTGAAATAGGTAAAACCAAAAGCAACAAAATGGTTCTGGATTGATGTTCAACTCTTAATAAGTAAAGGTTGGATTATTTTGCATTTATTATTGAGACTGGTGACAGGAAAAATAAAGACTGTTTCACATGCCCCTTGTGATGTCAATGGAATTTTACAAGCCTGACATGCACCAGGAACTTTTAAACAGCTACCGATATAGACATTCAGGCGGACAGGCTGTGTGCTGTGGCATTCCACCTTGTTGGGTCAAGAGGTTTGTTGTGCCTCTTCCAATCCTGTGCTGGATGACTCCTCGTGCGATTGGGTGAGGGACAAGGCAAGGGCTTCCACTGTGAAAAGAAAAACAAAATGGGAAGTAAGAAATCAAAAGTCAGCTTCAAACTGCTGATACTGAGTGGAATGAATCTAAACATACAATACTTTTATGAGGGCCCGTTGTTTTGCCGAGGAGAATCTCTTCTTGGACAGGGTTACAAATGTGGAGCAACCTGTGATGGACTGGCATCCCATCCGGCGGAAGGGAAGAGAAATATTCTCCGTCATTTCAAGATGAGGAAACATGGAGATTAACGCTGGCCTGGTGGACCAAATTGGCTTGGAACTTGGTTGGCTGGTCTGTCCATCAGCCTGTCTGTTTGGGATGTACTCACAGTGAGGAAATGCTCCCCGCTTGTTGATGTTGTCCAGCATTGTCAAGAGGAACACGCTACACTTGTTGAACTCGCTCAGCATCTGGTCGATCCTCTCTGCACTGAACAGACATACAAGAAACATACACTCAGAAAGCGAGACACACTAGAATCTCATATGTAGCTATCTGACTCTTTGCAAGTGCATGTACCGTAAACCTCGGATAAGTCAGCTTCGTAATACATGTAGTTGGATTTTCGCTTACCTTGGATAAAATCGCTGGGAACATTTGATTTCTCATATTCTTAATAAAATTCCTTTCCTGTAAAGTCGGATCGTAAAAGTCAGATTTTTGCTTTTCTTGGACAAATCCTGGAACATTTGTTATAATACTGTGTGTTTTACCTTTTGAAGTTGGATTGACAAAAACAAGATTTCTGTATATTTAGTCATTCCAGTAAACAGGGATTTGGGGAATTTTTCAGTTTTTTTTCCTGTCCAAATCAATCATTTTGGTGCCAGTTTCACTGGGTTTTCACGGCAGCAATATCTGCAAGAGGCCTACCATGCCACATAAGCTACATATGTACACATCATACTTTCGCATAGCAGCCTTTAACCTTGGCTTAAGCTCTGTCCCTTATTCCACTCCCATATCTATACTGCATGAGTGAACTTGATTTCCGGCTGGAAAAACATCTGTGTGCCCACGTGATCACAGACTGCATCTTTTATTGAATAAAGTGGCTGGGCTTAGTACAGCTACTGAAGTACATGTACACTGTGATGGCCAACACTCAAGGGAAGGTAAGGTACGGGTACCGACTCGGGTGGCATGATCAGTGAAACATGCTGTGGTTTTCTTTTTGTGGGCTGTGTGGCTGTTGTATGGCTGGCGGTGACTGTAACGCATTTTGTCATTTTTGTGTAAGTCAGATTTTCCGAGATTTACTGTACTATCAAAAGTGTATTTATATGCTTGTGCCTCTCACTGAGACTGGGGTACTTGTTAGTACTTGTGAAGTGACTGTATTAGTGAAGTACCGGTGCTGAAGTCAGGTGCATTTTGAGGAGGAAGTTCAGTGTCAAATATTGAACTAGTTAGCTGTGAACAATGCTGGAGACCATGAACATAGCATGGCAAATACACAAAGGTAAGATAGAGATTCTCCCAGCTTTGCAACATTAGAACTTAACCCCTTCACAATGGGATAATTTTGACTGCGACTGCTGGGCTGTGGCATGCAATGAATGGAGGGCTTTGTCCAGCAGCAGGCCCCATTGAACCAGCAACTGCATGGTGAATAGACTGTATGTGTGGTATGCACTAATGCTCACACAAAGGTGCGGTAGTAGCAGTCATCCGTAGCGAAAGGGGTTAAGGGGGGGGGGAAGTACTCAAAGAATACTTGGCCAAGAACTTTCAATGTACTTATGTCACAAACGTTTGAGTTTTTAGACAACTGTGACAGTTTAAGGTCATCAATTTGTAATTTAGTCCTTGTGCAACACAGCTAACCAGGTCAGTATTTGGCAGTATTGGTGTTGAAATAGTACTTGACTACACCACTGTGAATTACAAGACTACATCAACACTGAAAGCCTTCTAGAAGGAGAAAGGTTCTGGTTCTCTTACTTGAAAGCTGAAAGTCCAGCATCCCATCGCCTCTGGAACACCAAGGCCAGGTTCAGTGCCTTGAGTACAGCCTCCCTCACCAGGCCCACCTTCTTGTGCAGTAGGCAGCGTTCAGAAACCTTGGCCAGGTAGGTAGTGTGGAGCTCCACAATGGCTTCTAGGTCGGGGGCTCTTTCGATGTCCGCCTGGAACTCCAACCCGGTGCTGTGCAGAATCTGCACAGATGAAGCAAGAAATTACAACTCTGGCAAATCTCTGGTCCTAAATATGTTTCTTTTATCTAAAGTACATTTTCAATGTTCAGTAACTGCAAACATCTCTGATTGTTTGGCATAGCAGTGTTAGGTATAGCGTGTTGTACTGTATTTGTTATGCTTAGCCAACTTTCTGTGCTTGGTAAATGTAGATCTATGAAAGTGGCTCCTAAACTCACTCTTGACATAAGATAGCTATGGACTGCATTCACAAAGTGGATCAGCTTAAATCGCAGCAGGAACACACGGTGTAGGAGCTGTGCTTTGTGGAGGGGTTGAGGTCGGGCAGATGGTGTGGAGTCACCTCTGACCTCTGGCTTGTCCTTAGGATCCGTTGTGGTGGCTGCTGGGAATGAAGAGCGAATGATGGCTGTAGGAAGAATAAGGACAAGTCAATCATTCTCAGGTCAAAATGCAAGTCTGGCCCTGAGTAACAGGTGCTGAAGAAAGAGTAACTTGTGAGGATTTGTGGTGGGGTTTTGAAAGATTTGTGCTGTGCTTTTGAGGACTTGTTGTGTACTCTTGAGGACTTGTGATGGTCTTTCGAGGACTTGTGAAGGGCTTGTGAAGACTTTTAATGTGTAATTCCAAAGATTTGTGAGGACTTGTGATGGATTTGTGATAGACTTGAGGTGTTACTTGTGAGGACCTTGGATGTGTTTGTGAAAACTTGTGTAGACTCGTGATTGACTTGGGAAGGACATAACTTTAATAATCAAGTTTCCGACCCTGGGGAACCTTATAGATGTTACCAATGTCCATCACACCCAAGCAAGGCAGAACAGTTGACAAATTATCCTGTTGGCAAGGTCTTTATTTTTCTACAACCCAATTTACTCACAGCTAAATCGGAGCTGCTCCAGACAGTATTTTGCCCGCTTCACCTGGAGTAGAAACCGAAAGACCTGATTGTAGGCTGTGATGGTCTTGGCATTGATGATGATGTCTAGTGGCCAGGGAACCTATCAATAAAGGAACAAGATAGGAAAAATTCTAACTGTTGGACTGCAGAGATTACAAGCACTTCTGGTGTGAAAATGAAACAGGAGAGGAAAGTGACACCAGCATACTATTAGAAAACCACTGATGAACACGACTTGAGATTCGGTTGAATTTGAAAAACCTACCTTGTAGTGAAGTGTTAGGCCATCCAATGCATGGATTGGCTGGATAGAGACAGTAGAAGGCACATTTACTGGTTCAAAGCTCACTGTCAATCTGCAACAAAGTATACCTTTTAAATTATGCCTTGCAAAATATGCCGAACTCACACATTCATCAGTTCCACCCTGAAATTGGGCAGAACTGTTTTGATTTTTGTCAGTGATTTCAAATTAAGAGGTTTTGAGATTCAAAGATGGCCATCTTGGGTTTTGACTTGCCTATCTGCATCGCTTGGATACCCGGCAGCGACAGCAGTCTGCAGCTGGTAGTTGAGGTACAGCGTGTCCTGCCATTGGCTCTTGTGTTGACACAATCTCAGCTTGTCAAACAGGTCTGACAGGAAGTCAAACATGGTGTCACCCGCCTCGCACAGGTAATATCTCTGTGGAATGAGGAGAATTTGAAAGACATTTCATGGATTGACAGCATGAAATCAGAAAATACCATGTAGACTTATCAAAGGGAATGGCAAACTGTGATGAAACCATACTCATTGTCATGTGGCACTCATTGCCATGTGGCACTCATTCTCAAATTTGAACTTGAAGAGCATTTTAGAGTGACATACCCTGTCAGTCAATGAGACATGTCATCCTGACATTGGACCACAGTAATGACTCCAACACTGAACACCGGGGTAGTCAATAGTGGCAAGTATTAATGGGTGTTACTAAACTGCTGTAGGTGATAGCAGGGTACCAGTGACAGCAAGGTCACATTGACTGTCAACCTTGATTACTGAAAGGTCAAGAGTGACCTGGTTTGTCAAACTGTGTAGCCATGTCTGGATTGTTTTGCTACAGCTTAAAATTGTGCACTGATTTATGGGAAGTGGCTACAGCTGCTACCATAGATGTGTGTGTAATCTTAAGCCACAGCCAATTTCACAGCCTGTTTCTTCCTGATTTCCTTCACTTACCCTCATGGAGGCAAATGTTTCCGTCAGGTGGTAGTCTTTCTTCAAGGCTACCACCAGCTCCTTGCAGATGGTTTGGCACTTGGCCATCAGAAGTGGATACAGACATCTGTGTAGTATCAGTGTTAGGGGCTTCATGTGGCTTGTGAGAGCGGAACTGAAATCTGGCAGCGAAGACCAACTGACAGATTATAGAAGAAACACAGAAGATTTTCACTGACAATTCTGGGTTTACAATCTTTGATCTCTGTGACGGGGCTGTTGGACCAATTTTGACCCAAATGAGGATCGGACATTTGTGGCTCAATTTAACAAAATGAGTCTTAACCC